GAATCCCTCAATGGGCCCCCGTTTCTTATCAAATGTGCCTGATCCCTCGGACCACTTCCAGGGTCAGGAGAAGGACAGATTCTCGCGTGGCCTTAACATCCTCTGCCCGGCTACTCTGAGCCTGTTTCCTTGGCGGAAAAGATAGGGCAGAGATACCAACTTTGCAGGATATTGGAGCATTGCCAGGCCCCTTCTATGCCAGAATGTGCTAAGAATGCTGGTTGATAATAGTGCAATTCTCTAACTATATAATGAAGTTCTGAGGACGTGAGGAGGGGTCTACCTGCTGGTGTGGTAGGGTTGGGGCCCTGGCCAACAACCAAAACATTTGCCTTTGCCTTTGTGGATCCTTCTGGTGTGGCTTTGAGGAGGGATTCTCAGCCTTGGCACAACTAACATTTTGGACTGGATAGTTCTCTGTCATGGTAGGGCTGTCCTGTACACAGCCAGATGTCTAACAGCATCCCTGGGCTCTACCCACTAGATGCCAATGCACACACTCTGCCTATCCAGGACTGTTGTGACAAGCAAAGTATCCTCAGACACTTTGCAGTGGGAAAATAGTTTCTCCATACCTGCCTGGCATATACATAACAGGCACTCAATAAATGACTACTTACAATGAATTGCCCTGGCTGGTGTAGCTCGGTGGATTGAGAGCCGGCCTGTGAACCAAAGTGTCGCTGGTTCTATTCCCAGCCAGGGCACATGCCTGGGTTTCAGGCCATGACCCCAGTAGGGGGTGCATGAGAGGCAACGACACATTGATGTTTCCCTCCCTCGCTTCTCCCCTTCCTCTCTAAAAACAAATAAATAAAATCTTTTTTTTTAAATGACTTACAATTAATTAAATGTGGTAGAATGTCTCTCATCCAAAAGAATGCCCTAGACTACCAGATAGCCAGTCAGATCCCATCCCTTCTATCCTATTATTCAAGGCCCTGTGCAAATGCCACTTCTTCCATGAAGACTTCCTTGATTGGCCCCACCCTTAGTTGTACATACTCTCCTACTCAGTGCTGATGCCCATTAGTTTATGTTCCTCTTTAACAGTTGTAATTTAGTGTTCTACATCTTTATACTTTCCACTATTCACAAAGTACCAAGATGACTCTGGAAGAATGTTAGCCATTATCCATCTTCTCTACCCACTACCTTCCCTATAAAAATGATATTCTTTGCTACCTATATTTGACATTTTCTGAAGTATATATAAAATATGAAGAAAATTTTGTGATTTGTATTCCTTTGCAATATATAACTTAAAGTTTTCTGTTAAAATATATTAACAACCTAATCCTACATCTAAAAGAACTGGAGGAACAACAAAAAACAAAACCCAGAGCAAGTAGAAGGAAGGAAATAATCAAGATTAGAGCAGAATTAAATGACATAGAGACTAAAAAAGCAATTCAAAGCATCAATGAATCCAGGAACAGGTTCTTCTAAAAGATAAACGAAACTGACAAACTGTTAACCAGACTCATCGAGAAAAAAAGACAGAGGGCCCAAATAAATAAAATCAGAAATGAAAAGAGAAGTAACAACCACAGAAATACAAAGGATTGTAAGAAATTACTATGAACAACGCTATGCCAAGAAATTGGATAACCTGAGGGAAATGGATAAATTTCTACAAACATACAGTCTTCCAAAACTGAATCCAGAAGAAGCAGAAACACTGAATAGACCAATGATAACTAGCAAAATAGAAGCAGTAATCAAAAAACTCCTGGCAGACAAAAGCCCTGGACCAGATGGCTTCCCGTGCAAATTTTGCCAAACATTCAAAAAAAAACTAGTTCTTATTCTTCTCAAACTGTTCCAAAAATTTCAAGAAGAGGGAGGGCTTCCCAATTCTTTTTACGAAGCTAGTATCATCCTAATTCCAAAACCAGGTAAAGACACAGAGATAAAATTACAGGCTAGTATCTCTGATGAACATAGATGCTGAAATCCTTAACAAAATATTGTAAATACAGACCCAGGGATACATTAAAAAGACCATACACTGTGATCAAGTGGAATTTATCACAGGGATGCAAGGATGGTACAATATTCACAAATCAGTAAATGTAACGCACCACATAAACAGAATGAAAGACAAAAACCACATGATCATATCAATAGATGCTGAAAAAGCATTTCATAAAATCCAGCACCCATTTATGATTAAAAAAACACTCGGCAAAGTGGGAATAAAAGGAGAATACCTCAAAATAATAAAGGCCATAAACAAAACAAAACAAAAACAAAACAAAAAAAAAACCCCTACTGCCAACATCATACTCAATGGGCAAAAACTAAAAGCTTTTCCCTTAAGATCAGGAACAAGACAAGGGTGTCCACTTTCACCACTCTATTCAACAACAAAATGAAAGTCCTAGACATAGCAATCAGAAAAGAAAAAGAAATAAAAGCCATCCAAACTGTGAAAGAAGAAGAAAACTGTCATTATTTGCAATGACATGAACATAGAAAACCCTTTAGTCTCCACCAAAAAACTACTCGACTTAATAAGTGAATATGGCAAAGTAGCAGGATACAAAGTCAATATTCAGAAATCGATGGCAGTTTTGTACAGCAACAATGAACTATCAGAAAGAGAAACTAGGGGGAAAATTGCATTTACTATAGCAAAAAGAAAAATAAAGTACCTAGGAATAAATTTAACCAAGAAAGTAAAAGACCTGTACTCAAAAAACTATAGAACACTGAAGAAAGAAATTGAGGAAAATATGAATAAATAGCAGCATACACCTGTTCATGGATTAGAAGAATTAACATCATTAAATGTGCATACTACCCAAAGCTATCAATAGATTCAATGCAGTCCCTATTAAAATACCAATAGCACATTTCACTGATTTGGAACAAATACTCCAAAAATTTATATAAAACCAAGAAAGACCCTGAATAGCTTCAGAAATCTTGAGAAAGAAAAATAAAGTTGGAGGGATCAAATACCTGATATAAAACTATCCTACAAGGCCACTGTAATCAAAACAGCCTATTACTCGCATAAGAACAGACATATAGATCAATGGAACAGAGAGCCCAGAAATAAACCCATGTTTGTATGGCCAATTAATATTTGATAAAGGGGGCATGGGCATACAATAGAATTAAAATAGTGTCTTCAATAAATGGTGTTGGAAGAACTGGACTGGTACATGTAAAAAACTGAAACTAGACCACCAACTTACACCATACACCAGAATAAACTCAAAATGGATAAAAGACTTAAATATAAGTTTTGATACCATAAGAGTCTTAGCTGAAAATATAGGTGGTAAATTTTCAGATATCCCACATAGCAATATTTTTGCCAATATATCTCCTAGAGCAAGGGAAATAAAGGAAAAAAATAAACAAATGGACTACATTCAATTAAAAAGATTCTGCACGGCTAAAGAAACCATCATCAAAATGAAAAGAGTGAACATATTTGCCAGCCATACATCAGACAAGGATTTGATCTCCAAAATATATAAAGAACTCATAAAACTCAACACCAGGGAGACAAAAAATCCAATTAAAAAAATGAGCAAAGGGCCTGAACAGCTGCTTCTCCAAGGAGAACATACAGATGGCCCATAGACAGATGAAAAGATGTTCAACATCACTAGCCATCAGAGAGAAGCAAATTAAAACCACAATGAGATATCACGTCACAGCTGTCAGAATGGCCATCATCAATAAATCAGCAAACAACAAGGTGCTGGTGAGGATAGAGAAAAGGGAACCCTAGTGCACTGTTGTGGGAATGCAGTCTGGTACAGCCACTGTGGAAAACAGTATGGAATTTCCTAAAAAAATTAAAAATGGAACTGCCTTTTGACCCAGCAGTTCCACTGCTGGGAATATACCCTAACAATCCTGAAACACCAATCCAAAAGAACCCATGCACACCTACATTCATAGCAGCACTATTTATAATAGCCAAGTGCTGGAAACAGCCTGAGTGCCCATCAGCAGATGAGTGGATGGAAAAACTCTGGTACATTTACAGGATGGACTACTACCCAGCAAAAAGAAAGAACTCCTATCTTTTCCAACAGCGTGGATGGAACTGGAGAATATCATGCTAAGTGAAATAAGCCAGTCAGTCAAATACAAATGCTATATGATCTCACTTACAAGAGGAATCTAATTAACAAAATAAATTAATGAGCACAATAGAACCGGAGACATGGAAACATGGAAGACTGACAGGGGCCAGAGGGGCGGGGGGAGGGGGATAATAGTGGAAAGAATGGAAGAGACTAAAGAACATGTATGAATGACCCTGGATATGGACAACGGTGTGGGTATTGACTATGAGAGTGGGGTGGATGGGATGGGATGGGCGGAGGAGGGCAAGGGGGTGGGGGGAATTGGGACAACTGTAATAGGATAACAATAATAAATAAATAGATAAATAAATAAATAAAATGTATTAACAACTTAATACTGTGCACTTATTAGGGTCCAGGGCCTGTCCAACAAAACGTTACACGGATTAATTCATTTTATTTTTACAACCCTATGAAATAGAAACTTTTATAAAATCCATTTTACAGAAGCTAGCAAGTGTGCAGTGTCCGGATATAAGCCAGGCAGCCCAAGTTGTGTGCACACTTCTAATTGTTGTAACCTATACCGGCCGCCAAGCAGCTTCAAGACCTGCATCCTGTCAGTTCCCAGCAAGACTGCACTCCCAAATCCTTCCTGTTTAGAATTTCTGCAGCAATGGGTCACTAGGCTAAGGTCTCCGCGGTCAGGAACCTTGGTTGCTCATTCACTGTGTTGCCCAAGAGGGAGATCCGTGCTTTGAACAAAGTGGCCTCTCCATTTTTGTTAAATACACAAAAAGTGCAAAGCTGGGAAGTTCTTCCTGAGGTCTAACCTCTGACCGTTTCACAGAGCCTGTAGAAGAGAGGTCGTGGGCACAGGGCTGAGCAGCGGCGCCTGCGGCCCCCGGCCACCAGGTGTCGCCGCGGCGCCCTTGGGTGGGAGGGCGGAGCGGCCGCAGATCGCGGGGAGGATGTGGACGTTCGGACTCCGCTCGGCTGCTGGCCTAGTACCCCGCTCGGCGCTACTGGTCTTGGCGCAGACCAGAGCTAGGACCCCGCGGCAGACGAGAAACATGCCACTCAGTGGGCACGGAGACCCGCGGGCCGGGACGGCTGTGGCCTGTGCGTCCAGCCATGCAGTGAGTACCCGCCAGAGAGCCACGGGGCCGCGCGCGCAGATGGAGGGAGACCGCGCACCGGGTGACGCTCTGCGCACGCGCGCCCGTTGTGACTCCGGCGGGCAGTACGTGAGGCGACGTACTAAACTAGTCCGTTTCTGTGAAGACTGAGAACAATGCCTGGCATATTGTGAACAGTCTAGCATGTGTTGTAGCTGTAACTGCGGTTATTTCGGCTGCTCCGACTTCCTCAGCGTGGAGCTTTTTAGACATGTCGCCTGCGCTCTGCATCCCCCTCCCCATTTGCCTCTTCTACTCGCCTCTCAGCCCCGCGGCTTCTGCTTGTCTCAAGGGCTTGATCAGGGCTCAGGAACCAAAACTCACAGTCTCAGACCCCTTAGTGGCAATCAGAGTGACCTTTGGTGAATGTAACTATTAAGAGGTGGCAGCCTCTTAAAGCACTTAGGTGGCTTCCCAGCTGAGGTCTTGTAGCCTCCGCCTTTCTCTCACCTCCCTTGCTGTCTCCACTCCGGCCTGACTTTTCTCTCCCTTCTCAGGCTCCGTGCTCTCGTGCACTCGTGCACTAGGGTAGAACCCTCTGCGAGGGCCCCTTTTCTAGTTCTCTACTCACTTCCCCCGCCACCCCCGTCCCCGTTATTTTTTCCGTCCCTTCAGCTGGTCAGTAAAGCTGGACGCCCAGCAGTTATGTAGTGAAAGAAATCAATAGGTCACATGGTCTCCTGCAGATCAAGTTAACTAATCAGATCTGTGAGACAGCTCTCTGCAGTCAGAACCTCCCTTCTGGACGGCAGCCCACTGCTGTCTCTTGCTATGTGTTGTTGCTTGTTTTAGGCAAATGCTAGGGGTGTTACTGATACTTTCCAGCTTCGTGCTTGCAGTTTATGTAGAACAGCGCTGTCCTGCAGAACTTTCTGTGACGATGGGTTTGTTCTATGTGTGTGTCACTACGCACTGAGGCCACAGGACACTTGAAATGTGGCCGATGCAACTAAGGAACTGACTTTTAAAATTTTCTTTTAGTTCAATACATTTACATTTAAATGCATGAGACTGGTGGCTACTATACTGGACAGCACAGGCTTAGAGACTGGGAAAACTCCTTGTAATACATTAAAAGAAGGTGAAAAAATTCCTAAGAAATGCTCCTGGAAAACTCTTAACATGATATTGTTGAATGTAGAAGTGGTGCTATTTAAACTTTCATTAATGGACTGTAATATGCTGAAAAATTGCAATGTTCTTAACTTTGGCTTTTAGAGTTTGAGCCTTCACTGCCTCATCCAGATGCTGAATGTCAAAAAACAGAGTGTCTGTTTGATGAACTGGAGAACAGCAGGAACTTTGGGCAATCCAGGGTAAGATGAACACCTTCCACATCAGATCTCTTTCTCCCTCTCTTTCTCCAACATATACACACATACGTGCACTTCTATTATTTTTGCCCTTTCTCTTATTGTTAAAGTTAAAAAAAAAAAAAAAGGCCATCCCATACGGAACCTGTTTTCTTCCTTAGCAGCATCACTTATAAACATCTCTCCACATCACTGTCTACCATGTTATTTTTAATGATATGGTATTAAATTATATACCATAACAAATGATCACCTCCATAAGTCTAGTAACCATTTGTCACACTATAAAGTTATTACAACGTTATTAATTAATAAAACATGTGCTATACATTACATCCCCATAACTTTTTATTTTATAAGTAGAAGTTTGTATCTCTTAATTTTCTTATTTTGCCCATCCTCACCCCCGCCTCTGTGGTAACCATCACTTTGGGTCTGTTTTTTGCTAGGTATGCATTTCTTTTTTTAAAATTTTATTGCTTATGCTATTACAGTTGTCCCAATTTTTCCCCCTTTGCCCTCCACCACCCAACAATCCCCACTCCCTCAAGCAATTCCCCCAACATTGTTCTTGTCCATGGGTCACGTGAGTAAGTTCTTTGGCTACTCCATTTCCTATACTTATAACCAGTGTTTTGAACTCTGCATCTTACATCCCCCTGACAATTCTGTAACCATCTATTTGTACTTTTTATTTTTTATGGAAGTTTGTTGTTGTTGTTGTTGTTGTTTTTAAGATTTTATTTATTATTTTATTTTTAGACAGAGGGGAAGGGAGAGAGAGGGAGAGAAACATCAATGTGTGGTTGCCTCTCAAGCACCCCCTACTCGGGAGCCGGCCTGCAAGCCAGTCATGTTACCTGACTGGGGATCCAACAGGCAACCCTTTGGTTCTCAGGCCAGCGCTCAGTCCACTGAGCCACACCAGCCAGGGCTACCTGTTTGCTCTTCTTCATCCCCTCAACTCTTCCCCCTTCCCCCACATCCCCCTCTCTGGCAACCATCCAACTATCTCTGTATCCATGATTCTGTCTCTATTCTTCTTGTTTGCTTAGTTTGTTTTTTAGATTCAATTGTTGATAGGTATTTTTTGCCATGTTATTGTTCCTAGTTTTGATCTTTTTAAAAAATTTTTTTTATTGTTGTTCAGCTGTAAGTGTCCCCATTTTTCCCCCATTGCTCTCCCCTGCCCTGCCCACACCCCCTCTCCCACATTCAATCCCCCACAGCATTGTTCTTGTCCATGGGTCCTTTATACATATACTTTGATTTGACCCTTCTCCTTGCCCCCCATTGTCCTCTTCACCCCTCCCCTCTGGTCACTGTCAGTTTGTTCTTTATTTCCATGCCTCTGGTTCTATTTTGCTCACTTGTTTATTTTGTTGATTAGGTTCCACTTATAGGTGTGATCTTCTTTTTCTTAAATAAGACCCTTTAACATTTCATATAATAATGGGTTGGTGATGGTGAACTCCTTTAATGTTTTCTTGTCTGGGAAGCTTTTTTCCTGACCTCCGACTCTAAATGATATCTTTGCTGGGTAAAGCAATCTTGGCTATAGGTCCCTCCTTTTCATGACTGAATATTTTTTGCCAATCCCTTCTAGCCTGCAAAGTTTCTTTTGAGAAATCAGCTGACAGTCTTATGGGAATTCCCCTATGGGTAACTAACTTCTTTTCTCTTACTGTTTTTAACATTCTCTCTTTACCTTCAACCTTTGGCATTTTGATTATGATGTGCCTTGGTGAGGGTATCTTTGCATCCATCTCATTTGGGTCTCTCTGTGCTTCCTGGACTTGCATGTCTATTTCCTTCACCAAATTAGGGAAGTTTTCTTTCATTATTTTTTCAAATAGATTTCCAATTTCTTGCTCTTTCTCTTCTCCTGGTACCCCTATGATGCGAATGTTGGACCTCTTGAAGTTGTCCCAGAGGATTCTTACACTATCTTCGGTTTGTTTTTATTTATTTTTTTATTCTTTTTTCTTCTTGTTCTGATTGGTTGCTTTTTGCTTCCTTATGTTCCAAATCATTGATTTGATTCTGTGCTTCATCTACTCTACTGTTGCTTCCCTGTGAATTGTTCTTTATTTCAATTAGTGAATCCTTTGTTTCAGACTGCATCTTTTTTATGCTGTTGAGGTCCTCACTAAGTTCCTTGAGCATCCTTATAACCAGTGTTTTTAACTCTGCATCTAATGATTGCTTATCTTTGTTTTTGTTTAGTTCTTTTTCTGGAGTTTTGATCTGTTCTTTCATTTGGGCCATGTTTCTTTGTCTCCTCATTTTGGCAGCCTCCCTATACTAGTTTCTATGTATTAGGTAGAGCTATTTTGACTCCGTGTTTTGGTAGTGTGGCCTAATGTATTAGGTGTCCTGTAGGGTCCCGTGGCACAAGCCTCCTCTATCACCCAAGCTGGGTACTCAAGGTTCACCCTCCGTGGGGACTGAGTACACCCTTCTCTTGTAGTTAAGCCTTGATTGCTTTTGGCAAGTCAATGGGAGAGATTTACCCCAGCCAGTCAGTTGCAAGGATTGACTGACCACTGACCCCCAACCTCCATCCTCTGCGGAGGATCGGCTGTGCAGGGGCAGGGTGGTGGTGCCCTGACGTGGTCTGTAGCTGTCCACTGGTTGCACAGACTCTGTGGTTTCCCTGGCGGTGCAGGCCAAGGTCAGCCCCCAGTTGTGTTTTGCCTCCCTGACTGGGCTATAAAACAATCGGAGATGGCTGCTACTTGTGCTGGGCTTGGAGATTCCCAGGCAAAGCCAAACTATGAATCTAGGCTGGCTGCTGCTAGTGTCATGCCGGGGGCCGCTTAGCAAGATGTACGGGGGCTAGGGGCTCACTGAGATCCGCTGTGGCTTTTTGAGAGGACTTAGGAAATTGTGAAGCAGGAGCCAAGATCAGCCATTCATATGGAAAAGTCTGTTAACAGATTGGGTAGGATGGTGCCTAGGGGGAACTCCAGGACGGGGCAAACAGTATTAGCCAGGTTGATGGAGTCTCAGATGAGGCACCCACCTGCCGGCTCTGTGGCTCTGTGGGGGAAGGGTTCAGAAAAGGGACAGTGGCATTTCTATCTGGGAGAAATCCGCCCCCTACCTCTTGCCTTGATGACAGACCCTCCCCTTCCTCCCTGTGTGCCACTGGTGCCATCCAAGCTATGTCCCTGGTTTTGGAGCTCAGAAGGAGTGAGTCTGAGTAGATGAGCCTGTGTCAGGGTTCTTTAAGAGGAACTGCTTGGGACTCCGGAAGTTTATTCCACCTACTGAGTCCCCACTGGTTTTTGCAGCCAGATGTTATGGGGAATTACCGTCTTGTCACTGGTATCCTGAGCTGGGGCAGGTGGGGCAGGGACTCCTCGCTCCCAAGATACCCCTCCTGAATTTTTATTCACCACGAGTGTGTGTGGGACCAGCCCATTCCATATTCCATCCCTCCTGCCAGTCTTGATGGATGTGGTTTCTTTAATTCCGTAGTTGTCAGACTTCATTCAACTCGATTTGTGACAGTTCTGAGTGATAGTTGTTCTATAATTTAGTTGTAATTTTGATGTGGTTGTGGTCGATGTGGTTGAGCTGTGTTACCTATGCCGCCATCTTGACTGGAAGTCTGGTATGCGTTTCTGTTGGGTATATATCTAAGGCTGGAACAGATATACAAATGTAATCGACTTTAGTTGATACTGCCGAACAGTTTTCAGAAGTGATTGTTCCATTTACTGGCCCATCAGCAACCAGTATCTGAAAGCTCTGGTTGCTTCACTCCCTGGCAAACTCTTGACACTATCTGTCTCTCTTATTTTAGCCATTCTGGAAGTATCCCATTGTGATTTTTTAATTTCTATTTTTCTGAAGACCAACAAGTTCTGCACCTTTTCATACATTCATTCACCACTAGGATATCTTGTTTTTTGAAATGAGATTTGTTTAAATATTTTACCCCTTTTTCTATTGGGTTTTTTTCCTTATTAATTTGTAAGGGTTGTTTATATATTCTAGAAATAAGTCATTTTTAGATGTATGTAATACAAATATTTTATCCCACTTTGTGGTTTGCCATAAATTTTAATAATAATAGCATTGGAAACCTCAACCTCTAGCTAAAGGGGACTGGTTGAATAAAATATGAAAATCCATATGTGCTGATATGGAACAATTTCCAAAATGTATTTATGAAAACTGTAATATCCCTCATTTGTTTTGTTTTGCTTTTTAATTTTTTTTTAATATATTGATTTTAGAGAGAGAGAAACATCGATTTGTTGTTCCACTTATTTATGCATTCATTGGTCGATTCTGATATGTGCCCTGACCAGGGATGGAACCCACAACCTTGGTGTATTGGGACAACTCTCTAACCAACTGAGCTACTGGGCCAGGGCCAAATGCGCTTCCATTTGAATATTAAAAAGAACATAAAATTTTTGGAAGGATACAGAAGAGACTGTCATCATAGTTGACTCTGGGGATGGGGGCTGCCTATTTGGGAAGAAAGGCCTATTACTTTACTGTTAGCCCTTTATGCTGTTTAATGTTTGCTCTGTACACGTTAGCTATTCCCCATCAGCTTTTTAGATCTAAACAAATGAACGCGGCGTGTGGTGTTAATAAACTGGAACGGTTCAGTAAGCACGTGTTCTGGTGGTTTTGGTTCCCTGCAGCTCTCTCGATGAGGCCACCTACGAAAGACTGGCAGAGGAGACGCTGGACTCCTTGGCAGAGTTCTTTGAAGACCTTGCAGACAAACCTTACACATTTGAAGACTACGATGTCTCCTTTGGGGTACCTCTTCACTTATTTCATTTTTCTGTTTGCTCCCGAAGCATTTTAGCTCACTAAAATAAAGAATTCCCCTCTAGCAGAAGTAAGCATCCAAGAGCCTGTGGTTCAGGGTGAGACCAAAAGACTAGGGTTCACGTTCCAGCCCTCGTCCACCAGGCTTGTGACCTTGGGCAAGTCACTCAGCCTCTTTGAGCCTCATTTTTTATTAAAAATAGAGGTTCTCCAGCTTCACTCAGTACCCATGAAGATAAATCAGAAAGGGACTGAGCGCGTGTTTGTGCCGTCAGGCAGACATGTGGAACACTGAACTAGACCACTAGTCCTAACCAGGGTAAGGTACTGCCTGAGCAGTATTCAGGCTGCACTGACAGGGGCCCCGCTCCTGGGAGGCTCTCACACAGGAGGTCAGGGTGCATTCATAGGAAGTGTATGTTTTAGAAGCTCACCTGAGATTTAATGTGCATCGCTGGGTCCCCCCTGTAGGAGTTTTTATTCAGTGGGTCTGGGGTGTGGCCCAGATCAGGCATTTGGAGTTTTAAAGTTTTAAAACCCCCTCCCCAGTTGATTCTAATTGGCATCTTGGGTTGGAACTTTTGGGTTGAATGAAGCTTGAGCCCTAGATCCTGGAAGCCAGGTGAGTGCCTTTTGGTGTCTACTGGCCACCAGGTGGCAGACTTTAGCAAAGGTCAGCCTTTGGATTTAGGATTACTGCTTAGGCCTTAGAGAGCAGTTCTTTTTTACCATTGGGAGTAATCCCCTTCAGAGCTTAATCCTCTTGATAGCAATTAATTAATACCAGGAAATGTCCTGAGGTTTGCATTTTGGGTTGGACCATGGAATTATTTAGGAAAAGCAGCTGTCAGGCTAAACTGATAGAGATGCTGTTGGATATAGCTGTTGGAGTGCTGGATGGAGAAGGGATCCTCTCAGGTGGAGCAGGCAGCAAAGTCCCGGAGCTATGAAGCCTGGTTGTAAGGAGAGTGAGGGACTTGGTAAAAATAGAGGCAACAGGGCAAGAAAGGAATGAACGCCTCCCAGGTGGTTTTAACGATTGCTGTCAGCAGCAGCAGATGCAGCTCTAGTGCCCAGGCAGTGTTTTAGAAGTGCAGGCAGCCTCAGAGGGCAGAGCTGCCTGGGAACCATGACGCACTGGCCTGGCCAACCGCACCATCTGTGGGATGATTAGAGAGGGGGAAGCTACAGGTCCCCTCTTCCTCTAGCTACCAAGGGCTGTAGCTAGAGGAAAACCCAGTCCCAGGCAAACCTCTGCCGCACGTGCAAACATTGATTAATATGTCACAAAAACAGTCACACCCCCTGTTCTAGTAGGATTGGTGAAGCTCCGCCTTGGCCCAAGTACTTTGCATAAATGTTTCATTAGAAGCAAATGTGCCAGTATTCTAGCAGCTGGATTCTGTTGACCTCATTGAATCCAGCAACAAAAGCTTCTGCTCAGTGGCAGGTCACAGGACCCAACTGAATCCTCCCTTCTGTGTCTCTTTCAAGAGTGACTCAGCTGCTGGGCTTTCCAGACCCCGTAACTGAGTGGAACCCCTTCCTGCAAAGCAAGAAGCACCTGTTTTTTTCCTAAGCCAACCCATATATCTTGAGTATCACTCTACTCACCAGCAAAAAAATTATTTCTAGCAAATTATTTGCTAATCAGGGAATTCTGTAGTGTAAATGTAGAAAACTGAGGGAATGTAGTAGCTGCCTCTGTAGTTTGGACTTCTGATTAAATATTTTGAAATGCTAACTACTCTACAGTGTGAGTTTCTGATTAGTCTTTCAGAGGCTAATTTAACATATTTTACATATACAATAAATCAGTTGAAGTACATTATAGGCAGTAGAATACCTGTAACATTATTACCTGAGCTTTCTTGGAAAACAGTCTCTTCCTGCTCTCAGGGTTCTGGGGTAGGAAGAAATTTTATCCTGCCCTCCTAGGTTCTTTCAGCTGGTCTAATAAACTTACATAAGACAGATTAACAAGAGGAAATAACCAAATTTAATTACATATATATGCATGGGAACTCCACATACATGAGAGAGTCAGAGACCCCACAAATATAAGAGATTCAGGGACAGTAAGTTAAACTGAGGTATATATGGCACTCTGAGCTCAAGGTAAGTTAAGGCACCTTGGGGCTTCAGAGGGGAGAAAGGTCATGGAGGGACAGTAAGAAGAGCAAACGTTCAGTAATTAGAAGTTTGCCCTGCCATATACCTAGGTCATAAAAAGTTATTTCTGGTAATAACTTCTATTATGGGCAAGGCCCCAAATGTAAATTACTTAAGGGATAAGTAAAAGTTTCCTGGAACCACAGGGTCTTAATTGCTGTCAGCTCAAAACAATTCACATGCCAAAGTGCACATTTTGGGGAGACCTGTTCTGAACCCCTACAGGGTCCAGTTGGATGTCACCTCCTTTGTGAAGCCCTCCTAGGTGTTCCAGGCAGACACCACTGCTCCTTCTTTACCCAGCTCTCTGAGGATAACTCCGCAGATCACCGATCACCATACATTTTCACTGTCTATTTACACATCACTTCCCATGACTAGTCTGGGTTCCTTGGCAGTATGGACACTGTTCATTTTTGGTACCCCAATGCCTGGAGGAACATTGCCCAGTAATAAATGTTGATTCACTATATAAGTGAAATGGGGCCCATATAATTTTTCCAAAACACACTTTCATTGAGGCTACTCAGCATATATAGATATTTTGCTAGCTTGCTACTGACCAAGGTATCTAGTCCAGATACACCCGAGAACGCATTGGTTCTTTTTTTTTTTTAATGAGAATTTGCTTGTTGCCATGTTCTTCATGATCTATGTTGTTGGTTTATTACTGCCATAGAGGACAGGTTTCTGAAACTTTTGGGGTCAGGACCCCCTGTAAGAATCCGACTGCTCTCGAGCCTCTCCTGAGAAAAACTTCTCCACACACCCCTCGGCATAGTTTTGGCTTCAGGGTGGAGGCTGTTTGCAGATCCCTGAAGACCACCTCTGGGTTTCAGGTTATGGATGCTTGCTTCATATTTATTCTTATTCCTTAAGGGTAAGTTGGTGTCTGTTTTAGGAGTGTGGGAAGCCACATATATTGGGTTGGCCAAAAAGTCTGTTACATTTTTTCAGTAAAATAAAAGACACATTTTTCATTTTCACCAATAACTTTATTGATTTGGGTATTTTGAGTATCTTTGGGTATCTTTGGGTATGTCGGCTGTCTCCCACTATTGGCTTCCAGGGGATGGAGGCCAGGGGTGCTGCTAAACATCTTCCAATGCATAACACAGCCCCACAGCAAAGAATTATTTGGCCAAAATGTTAATAGTACCAAGAAACTTTGCAAACCACTTTTGACACATTTGGTCAGTCATAGCACCTCCATACACTGCACAAATCTTTTCTTGCGTTTTTAGTTGCATTTTTACCTTTCTTGAAATAATAAAGCATAATACGCCAAAAATGTTGCATATTTTCTTCCATCTTCAATATTAAAATGGCCACACAAAAATTCACCAAACTTTAGAAGCTTTTTCTAATGCACACTTGTATGACAGCTGTCACAATACAGCCTAGCAAAATTGTTTTGAATGAAGTTAAAGCCAACTAGGCACTACTAGAGCCACTGTACAGAAAAAATGTAACAGACTTTTTTTGGCCAACACAATACATGAAGTCCCCCGACTTAATGTGTTATACCATATGTGTCTACTTCTATAACTCAATTATTGACAAAAGAAATTGCTATTTTTTGCTTCCACCTGTGTAGTGCTGCTATTGATGAGTGGGAATTAATAAACCTCACCAGCTGTGGCCGGGGTCTGTTCTGATTGATTAGCGCCCCTGTCTCAGCAGCTGCTAAATGTTTGGGCTGTCTCTAATCCTCTCCCCACCCCACTCCCCTGCATTTAAATCTGCCCACACTCCCAAAATAGACTCAGATTGGTACGTGAGAAATAGCAGTAACGAACAAATGCCCTTTTCATCTGGTCTATTATAGACAGTTCCAAAAGCAGTAAGAACTCCTGGTGAACCAGTAAGGCAGATCATTTCCTTCCTGCTCTTGCCACTTTCCTTTGGGAACAGCCTCAAATTCTATAGGGGGGAAAATCTAATTACACACAATGAACAGGAAGAGGGGGTGGGGAGGTGAGAGTGGAGACTTTCTGCCTTGTGCAACCTTGCCCTTAACTTTGATACAAGTTATCACAGTACCTGGTTATCATCCACTCCGTTAGTTCAACCACAAATGTATGTTGTATCTATCTAGCATTTTACCTGAAGAATGCACATGCTAGACACTGAAGACGCTAGAATGGACAGACAAATCTATTCTCAAGGGGCTTAAAGTAGTGGAGGGTCAGGTTCATATTATTTATATCACCTGTATTCCCAATGTCAATTCCCAATGTCTCTATCATTTCTCTGCTTTTTTTAATCAGAAGAAAAGTTATTAAAAAATAATTGAACAGTGTCCTCCCCATTTCATGCCTGTCAATCATGTTATTACTGGTACTTTCTCCATCTTTTCAATAGCTCTTTGTGTTCGTGAACCAAACACAAAATGTAAGAACCATTCAGGGCTCCTTGGAGGGACGGGCTCTAGAAGGCACAGAGAAAGGGCGCCGTGTATCTCTGCAGTTTCTGCAGGGACGGGGAACAGCGAGAGACTCCCCGTTCACCAGCGCCATTCAGAGGCACTTAGTGGCGTCGTCGCTGTTCCTTTAATATCTATCCTGCGCATTCTAAAGAAACCGCAGGCCTTGGGACTAAAGGGGTCCTTTGTTGAAAGAGTGTTTTCAAATTTAAATGAGCATTTATTCATTTATGGAGCAAAGTTGGACCAACGGGTCTTTTGAAGAATTCTCAGCTCCTGTAGAGGAAAATAAAGCTGGAGAGGAGCGTCTGAGAAGCTTATGAGATGCGTGGGAAGGGTCTGGAAATAAAAACCCTGGTAAGGAGTGCCTGCCTTCTACCAGTGGGGCTGAGGCTGCTGCTCTGCTAAGACAAGCAAAGCAGGTGGTTATATTACTTCCTCTTCTCTTACCTTTTTTCCATTTTTTGGTAATGAACTTGTCCTGTCCCATGTGTGGGCCAATGAGGTATACTCTAGGAGGGTTGCTGTGTGTCTTTTTTAACACTCTCTAGTATGTTCTGGCTGGCAGTGAGCAAATGAGGCAGCAGTCAGGATGCGGATGATGCAGCGCTCTTCCCATTTGCCAGCTGTAATACCTCAAACAGGCCGCTCAATACTGTGGGCTTCTGTGTGCTCATCTCAAGAGGAGAAGAATGATGATTTCCACCTTGCTGAACTCACAGGGAATGAGCAGAAGCACTGTGAGATAGGCGTTGTGATTAATCATAGTCTGATTCTGAGAGCAGCGTTCTCTCTGCGAGATCTATTTCTAAACACTAAAGACATTATGACGTATATTGTGCACTTGTATGAATGCAAAGTGTTGAGATATAACAAAACGTGAAGCAATTATGACGAAGTGATAACTTTATCTTATTTTCTTCATGCTTTCCCCACCCCCTACCTGATCCCCTAGAGTGGTGTTTTAACAATTAAACTGGGTGGAGATCTAGGAACCTACGTGATCAACAAGCAGACCCCAAACAAGCAAATCTGGTTATCTTCCCCATCCAGGTATGTTCAGAAGTCGAAATCTCTGGTTGTTAAGCTTGTCTGAAACATGACATCATGGACCATTTAAGATCTATCCCCCTCAGATGTTAGTACCTATGTAAGTGGACCTCCGCTGATGTTTGACCGTATGTCTTTTTCTCAGTAGGAAAGTTTATTTTGGTTATGTAACTTCTGTCTGGTGATCATTTGGCTGCTGTAAGCAGAGATTGGGCTGTTAACAAGATCTGAAGTGAAAAATTAATAACTTTTCAGAACTTGGCCTAGATAGTTTTTCTCTATTAAATCATTTCCCTGCCTTTTCAAAAGCCACTTGTGATATTGCAGCATCCGAACAAGCTGCACTTTGTCTTCAAAGCAAGTTGAAGTTTGACCTCTAGTTTGTTTTGAGCATCTCAGTTAAAGGTTAATTGAATTCCATTTGCAGAAGGGGGCCGTGTGCTCTGCGGAGGTGGGATGGAGTTTTAAACTGCTATTACAGGCATTTAATGCCCCGTGGCTTTTCCATTGATGTGCTTTCAATCTAGTGGAATAAAAAATTGTGCTGGAGATGGCTGTGCTGTATCTCAGGGCCCAAGAACATGTAGGGAGAGAGGGTCCCTCATCCTTCCAGATACTGTTGAAGTGGTTAAAAGACAGTAAAAGGGAGATGCCAGCAAAGCCGCTATTAGACCAGCCTCTGTGGGTCATTCGTTAGCATTTCCAAAGAGAACATACTGACTGTGAATTGGGAAAGACCCAAATATAACTAGACATAGAATTCTTTGAAAGCCTATTGGTGTTTTCATATTTCTTTTTAAAGTTAACTTCTCCCCTCCCCCAACCTTGATCTCATTTTTAGGCAGTTAATATTATACTATTTCTCAGGTTAATTAAGCGTTATGCCTCCTTCACACTAACCTGACTAGGGACTATGTTATAATTCAACAAAACAACTGCAGAAATCACTGTCATTTCTAGCAAGTCCCTTATTCACAAATTGATTGCTTTTTAGACTTGGTTTACTTGAAGTTGAGGGGGGTTACTTTATGTGGGCCAGTTAGCCTGCTCTCTTTGCCCTCAAACAGTTGCCCTAACCCTCACTGTGGCAGTGCATGAGGACTGTACGTTCTTATCCTTTGTCTCCAGAGGAACCAGTATGAGAAACTGGGCAGACCAGCTCAAGTCCAGCCGTCAGCTTTGGGGATCAGTGACTTTGTAAATACCGGGCAGGGCACCAGAACCAAGTGTGACGGCTCCACTAAAAGGATTCTTTGTGTGTCTGGAGCCTGAAAATGTCCATATCGTATTTGGACACACCTACCAGCAACATGATCCTACCCCAGGCATGTTTAGAAGCATATAATTCTGGATAATAATAAATTCCTTTTTTAAATCTATAATTCCTAATGGGAATCTGGAGTGAAAACCTGCCAAGGAGCCATTTTCTATCACAGATACTATGTCCTCATAAAAATTTTATTTCCTACTCTATTTTTCACATCAGTCCAAAATCATCTTTGGACTGCATTTGTGAGAATTTGGATGGGACTGTATTTGTGAGAATTTTTTTGGGGGGGCAGTGGATTTTTGTTGTTGTTTTTCAGTTGACAACTTTTCAGGTCCTGTGGAAAGAGCGGCCTTTCCTGGCCACTGTGCCCCGCTAAGGAGGCTGTAGGATGGAATAAAGGAGGGTCTGGGTGGGGCCCTGGAACAGTGGAGGGGCCTGGCTGTTCCTCGCGCTCTGCCGGGCATACTGGGAGCACATGGGGGCCCAGGGCCAAGGGAATGCTCTCTGGGTTTGGTCTGGATTGTTAGCCTTTTTAATGTGGTCCAGATGGTTTGTGTTCAGCTATTTGTGCACACAAAACAAAGGCCTCAGTCCTTTTGGTTTGTCCATTTTGTCTCCATCATTAGGAAATGTTCTAACCCCAACATTGGTTGATAATACAGAAATCCTTGATTTTGTTTTGTTTATTTTGCTTTAAGATTTTATTTATTTTATTTTCAGAGAGAGGGGAAGGGAGGGAAAAATAGAGGGAGAGAAACATTGATGTGCAGGAGAAACATCAGTCGGTTGCCTCTGGCACACCCCCAACTGGGGACCTGGCCCGCAACCCAGGCACGGACCCTGACCAGAGTCAAACTGGTGACTTTTCAGTTCGCAATCCACGGAGACACACCAGCCAGGGCAAATCCTTGATGTTTTTATACCCCGAAAGATGCTTCCCTTCCGAGCCTTCCTCCATCCTGGCGAACTCCTTCCAATCTTGGACTTTGGAGAATCTCTCCCTAAGCACACAGGTGCCCCTTCTCATGGGCTCCCAGTGTCCTCTGCTCCCACCTCCTTCAAGTGCTCATCGGGTCCCATCACTCTCTGCTGGCGTGTCCACTGCCCTGCCAGGCTGAGAGGAGGTGCAACTAATGGGCACAAGTAGTACAGCTGAACAACAAGACACGCCAAGACCCAACTCCACCTGTGTCCACACAACACAGCATTTCCAGCATGAAGTGAGCGCGCACACCACTCTGATTCCCTCGATGAGCTTGAGGTGACGGAACTAGCTCTTTAAACTCTCATTTCAGGGATGTAAAGTTGAATTTAAAAACAAAAATTTTTTTTTAAATAATTATATAGGTGGTTGCCAGGGGCTGGGAGAGGAGGGAATAGGGTAACTGCTAAATGGATATGGAGTTCTCTTTTGCAGTGATGGGATATTCTGGAACTAGATAGCAGTAGTGGTTGCACAACATTATGAACATACATAAATGATGATAATAATATGTGCAAGGGACAGAGCATCTCAAATGGTACAAAAGGACCCTAACTTTAAAAACACCGCTCTGATACAGCAGGTGTCACATGTGAATCGGGGGAAAGTCACAGATCAGAATGTGATACGCAGAGACTCACCAGTAGAGTTCAGATGTTTCGAGGTCTTGAGAATGATTCTCTTATTTATTCCAGAAAGTAAATTGTGTAACTATTCTTAAAAGAAAAACCCTAAAGCAAGAAGTCAAATATATACCTCACTAAGTATTACTTTCTGGAGTTTCACTCCAATTTTTTGGTGGCAGCATCTGCAGAATCAGTCTTTCTCCTAAAGGGCCGTCCTCCGGGCGGACTGTGATGTGCTTTCTCTTGCAGCGGACCCAAGCGCTACGACTGGACGGGGAAAAACTGGGTGTACTCCCACGACGGTGTGTCCCTCCATGACCTGCTGGCCGCAGAGATGACTAAGGCCTTAAAAACCAGGCTAGACTTATCTTCTCTGGCCTATTCGGGAAAAGACACTTGATGATGCCAAGCCCAATTCTAAAGACATTGAAAACTATAGAGCCAAGACCCAGCTTTCTTCTGCAGCCGAATGTCTAGTTTGTTCCATTCCTGCTTTTGAGGACAGTTGCATTGTGTGTAGCAGCTCTGGGAAAAGAATACATCGCCTTCCACTCTACCCCTGACTTTGAATTTTTAATTTTCACAGTGTTTTTGGATTTATTGTCTGAGTTCCTCCCTCACATGATATCCCTTATCTTTATAATGCCCATATACCCATACCTTTCTATACAACCTTGCCACAAAGCAAAATAATGAGAAGGAAAAATTCTGGGAGCAGAAATAAATGGGCTCACAATTCATTTTTTGAAGGACTTCCTGAAAAGCTGCATGAAGAGGGACTGGCCGATGTCACCATTCTGTCTCAAAGTGAGACTCATTAAACAGGAGCCTAGAAGTGTTCCCACGCCTCTTGAAAACATAAACACTTCTAAGCCTGTTTCTGCTGAAGTGTCAGTGGCACCTTGGGAATTCTCAAACCGAAGACTATTCTTTCTTTGTGCTTTGTGTCTGCCAGGGTGTATGTAGCCTGCAAGGGGTGCTCGAAGATATGGTGCTGTTTCTTTCATACATACATATATATGTACATACAGGCACATTTATGTGTGTGTGTGTGTGTGTGTGTGTGTGTGTGTGTGTGTGTGTGTGTGTATTTAAATCTCTTTTCAAATTTTAGGGTCAGTATACAATCAGCTGCTGTAGCACAGGTCTGAGAATGCAAAACACCCTCCCGAAGACCAGAGTGGGGAAAGCCATCTCCATAAGCTCGTGGAGGCTCCTTGTAGGCTGTGAAGGGCCACACAAATGGAAGAGGTTTGCGTTAATACAAAGAACCCTGGTCTGCACTTGGCTCAGCCCAGAGTGCTGTCTCTCTGGGCAAATTCCCAAACTCGCTGAACCTGTTTTCCTGTGTGTTAAAAGAAAGAGTTGAACTGGATAGAGTATAGTTGATTCCTAATTCAGACTGTCAGTACTTCTGTTAGGCCACTTCACAGGCTAGCTTTAATTCCCTCTGGGAGATGAGGAGATGACAATGAACAACTTTTTTAAGCTATGGAATAAAATATATGGTTATTAGAATTACTTGAGTGTCCACTGAATTCATGTTCAAATAATGAGCATCCTTTCTTGTGCCTGTACTGTGCTAACTGATGCTACAGACTGTTTGTGTTCCCCCAAATTTTTGTGTTAAATCCTAACCCCCAAAGTGATGGCGTGAGGAGGCGGAGCCCCTGGGAGGTGCTTAGGTCTTAAGGGGTGAGTCCTCATCAATGGTCTTAGTCCCCTTATCAGAGAAACCTCAGAGAACTCCCTCACCCCTTCTACCACATGAGGACCCAGCTGGCCCTGAACCAGAAAGTGGGCCTTCACCAGACACTGAATGCTCTGGGGCCTTGGTTGCTGACTTCCCAGCCTCTGCAACTGTGGGCAGTGAGTTTCTGCTGTTTACAAACCATCCAGCTTATAGTGTTATGTTATAGCAGCCTGAATGGACTGAGACAGCCTACCACACCATATGACCTCACTTTAACACCCTCAGGAACATTACAATTCATCCAAAGTTACACCCATTATTTTCTTAATAAAGAAAGATTACTGACAAGTCTATGCAAATGTGTAGCGAAGAGTTTTGCAGTGGGTGAACCATTACATTCCATTATAGAAAAATCAACAGTAAAACAATGTAAACAATTGTTCAATGGGTATTTAAAATATGTCTTCAGACAAAATTATTGTATAGTCTGACAGAAATTTTAAGTATGGTAGGTCAGAATCCGAATATAAAATTACGTGTGTGTCTTAGTCTTATTTCAATGCAAGCTCACTTGGAACTCACTTAAATGGTGCACTCATTCATCTGTCTGAACACAACATAAAATGTAGGTGTTTAACCAGGCTGCTGTAACATGAAAATGGAAGTTCAGGGACACAACGTAAAACTTCAGAGGTATTTATTCAGGGCGCCATAACAGGAAAGTGGAAGTCCTGAGCTGTGCTCTTGATGCTTTCCTTATGGCCTAGCCTTTCTGGCCTGTTTACTTTTACTTTACATGCACTTGTAACTGGTGTAATTATTCAGTTTCTAAGACCCTAGGAGTTTCCCAGTAAGGCAGTGAAAGGAGTACAAGCACAAGGACAGCCCCCGGGGGGCAAATGAAAAGCATATTCTGACAAGCAAACTGGAAAAGCACGACAATGGGGGGCCAGTAGCCCTTCACCCCCCACCTGCACCCTCAGACCCTGGGAGCATCATCACATTTATGGTATCACTTGTGTGAAAGGATGAATTTTCAGGAAAATGTCAACATTCAGTATAACAAAGGAGGCAAGGAAATGTGCAATAAAGTTTTTAGAAAGTTTTCAATTATGTTTAGCTTCCTGAGTAGACAGGCCCTTAATCACTAGAAAAAAAAAAACAAACTAGAATGACTTACAGACTTCTCTCTGAAGATACAGAGAAGCGCTGGGGGTATACGTAAGAGAACTCGAGTTTTTTAATCAGAATTTTAAAACTTGAATCCAAATGCTGCCACTTACTTGCCTGTTGACACCAGCCTCAGTTTTCTCCTCGTAAAACGGAAATGTCTGTCTGACTCGTGGCGCCTGGGCCCCCATCAAAGCGCTGAGCACGTGGCAGCTATTGTTAGCACATGCAGAGCATAATTTCATATTTAAATTAGGAGTTTTCCCCTAAAGCATTTTTTATGTCATCCTTTACTCACCTCAAACTTAGTTAAAAATGCTCATTTTCTGACTATGGTGATGGATTCTGATTCCATAGAACAGTATTTCATGCTCCCTACAATGCTTATTTTTACTCCATCTTCTGCATAGCTTCTAAAAACAATTTGGCCAACTTTAAGTTTGATAGCTTGTATGAAATAGGTTTACAGTATGTGTTTCAAGCTATACCTGCTCCTGAATTCTACTAACCTCATTGCCACCGTTAGAGAAAGACCATGTTTATAAATGTGAAATTTGTGTGGATTGGCCACGCAAGGTTTCCAAGGAAAGCTCGCTTCCCACCTTCAAGGTACACACTAAAATTAAAGTAGTTTTAGGTTGTGTCCAGTTGAATTCTTGGCAAGGATTCATCTTTTGTAAATGAAAGCACCTACATACCAGATGGGAAAGAAAGGCACAGGTATGAAATTTCATGTCAATTTACCCTGCTGTTCAAAGGTAGGACTTTACAACTGTCTTACTTTGTATAATTACATTAGAGGAAGAAATGCCTTAAAATCCTTGGTTTGACTTAATTAGTCATAACAGCCTAAGGATCACAATTAATGGCCCCTTGGGAATGTGTAAAACTGGATCATTTATATCCTGATGTCTGCTATAAAAATAGAATCTGAGCTCACATAGTCAGTCTTCTCTGGATGCATTATTTAGGGTATGGAATGTTTCACATCTTGACCAAGTGGGTATAGAGGGAATGTAAAGTAATGTAATAAAGGCCATGTACGACAAATGCACAGCGAACATCATATTCAACAGTGAAATGCTGAGAACCTTCCCTCTAAGATCAGGAACAACACTATGATGCCCACTTTTGCCACTTTTATTCAGCATAGTATTAGAAGTCTTAGCCAGAGGAACTAGGCAAGAAAAAGAAATAACATGCACCCAAATTGGAAAAGAAGAACTAAAACTGTCACGATGTGCAGAAGACTTGACATTATATGAGGGGGGATCCCCCAAAAAACCCCACAGAACTATCTTCTGGAGGGCAGGCACCCTGTATCAATAGTACAGGCTTCCCGTGCTAGGTGAGTGTTCTAGGAATCCATCTGTATGAATGTACCAGCTGGCATTGTGAGAGGCTGCATTTGGCGTCAGTGAATTTTTTTCTTTTTTGAAGACTCTCAGTATGCTTGCCCATTTCATGATGAGTGATTTACGAGCACACCTGCCCACACCATGCTGAGTGTTCAGCAGTTTTTGACCAAAAACAGAATGACCCCAGTGCCCCACCGTCTCTATTCACCCAGTCTCACCCTGAGCAACTTTTTTGGTTTCCTCAGATGAGAAAAGTCCTTTAAGGGATATGTTTTGCCAATGTGGAAGAGGTGAAACAAAAAAAGCAGAAGCACTAAAGACATCAAAATCAGTGACTTTAAAAACTGTTTTGAGCATTGGGAAAAAAATCTTGATAGGTGTATTGCATCATATGGAGAGTACTTTGAAGATGACTGAAGTTTAAATATGTAAGAATAAATACAAATTTTTTAATAAATTCCAGGTTCTTTTGGATCCCCCTTCATATATAGAAAACCCTAAAGACTCTACAAAAAACTGTTAGAACTAATAAACAAATTCATTAAAGCTGCAGGATATACAATCAATATTCAAAAATCTATTGTATTTCTATACACTGAACTATCAAAAAGACAAATTAAGAAAACAGTCCATTTACAATAGCATCAAAAAGAATAAAATACTTAGGAATAAATTTAACCAAGGAAGTAAAAGACCTGTACAATGAGAATTACAAGACACTGATAAGAGTAAAGAAGATACAAAATAAATGGAAAGCTGCTCTGACTGGTACGGCTCAGTTGGTTGGGTGTTGTCCTGCAAAGCAAAAGGTAACTAGTTCGATTCCTGATCAGGGCACATGTTTAGTTTGCCTCTTAGGTACCTAGTTGGGGCGCATACAAGAGGCAACCAGTCGATGTTCCTCTCTCCCATTGATGTTTCTCTCCCTTTCTTCCTCCCTTCCTTCTTCTCTCTCTGAAAAAAATAAAATAAAATAAATGGAAAGCTATTCCATGTTCATGAATTGGAAGAATTAATATTGTTAAAATGTCCATACTACCCAAAATGATCTACAGATCCAATGCAATCCCTACCAAAATTGCTATGGCATTTTTCACAGAAAGAGAAGAAACAATCCTGAAATTTTTATGGAACAACAAAGGACTCCGAGTAGTTGAAGCAATCTTGAGAAAGAAAAACAAAGCCTGAGGCTTCACACTTCCTGATTTCAAATCAGACCACAAAGCTGTATCAAAACACTATGGTATTGGCGTAATATAGAAATAGAGATTAACGGAACGGAATTGAGAGCCCAGAAACAAACCCGCACATATATGCTCAGTTAATTTATGACAAAGAGCCAAGAATTTACAATTGGTAAAAGGTAGTCTTTTAATAATTGGGGCTGAGAAACCTGGACAGCTACATGCAAAAGAATGAAACTGGACCCCTATCTTATCTACAAAAATCAACTCAAAATGAATTAAAGACTTGAACCTAAGACCTGAAATCATGACTCCTAAAAAAACACAAGGGATTAATTTCTTGACATCTATCTTGGCCATGATTTTTTTTTTTTGAAATTGACACCAAAACAGGCAACAAAAGCAAAAATAAACATGCGAAAGTACATCAAACTAAAAAGCTGCACGGCAAAAGAAATCAGCAACAAAATTAAAAATGAAGGTACAAAATAGAAGAAAATACTTGTAAACCACATATCTGATAAGGAGTTAACGTACAAAATATATAAGGAACTCATAGAATTCAATAGCAAATAAATAACCTAATTAAAAACAGGCAAAGGACTTAAATAGGTATTTTTCCAAAGAAGATATATAAATGGCCAAAAGGTATGT